GTTAAAATAAAAAAGGTTTCAATTCAAGCCAAAAAATAAGGTGACAAAGAATAGAGGAGAAAGAAAAATCAATCCATTCACTTTTAAGAGGAGAAACAGGAAACATTACGGTCACTTCAATCCACAAAATAACATTACAAAAAAAAAAACTTTCCAAGGCAGTCCAATTAAAAATTAAATTAAATTCGCCGCTTCATTCTTTTATTTAAAGGACTAATTTATCTTTTAAAAAAGTTTCTTTGGGCAATCTTTCTCAGAATAGAAAAAAAAAACCTCACCAGATGGACTCACTTTCACTTCCTTCCTTCCGGAGCCGTCTCCAACTTCGTCAGCCTAGGGCTGCCTGTTTGCCATTGGCTTGAAGCACTTCCACTGGCTCAATCACGGACTTTGCAATGTCCCTGAGACCAGCAAGGCTTTGTTTTCCTGTTCACCATCTCTACGGGACGGTTTAGGTCCAACTGGACCATCCAGTGGCAAAAGTGTCAACGGCGGTCTCAGACTGTCAAGACCGCACATTGTATTGTCGCGACGTTGGCTCCTCCTATCCTACATAGAGCTCTTTTTGAGTACTCAGAAACTGCAATTGATACAAATTATGAGTCTACCAACCAGATGTTACCAGGAACACATTATACCTATGCTGTAGGCCTTGCATTGGTTGTCCATGATTTTCTGGGTGCAGTTCAAAATTCTGTTTTACTTATAAAGCTTTATATAGTGTGGGAACTAGCCACCTGCATGATCATCTTCTCCAAACAGAACTGATCTGTCTTAGAAGTTTATTGTTTCTCATTTTCATAAAAATGAGAGTGGCAGTTTCAGGCCAAATTTTTGTTATAGCATCAAGCTTATGGATTAGCCTTCCCTTAGAAGCTAATATGCCCCATTCAAAGAAGCACTCCTGAAGATAGTAAAGACAGACTTTTTCTAAATATCATTTAGAAGTAGTTAACGTATTATTAGTTATTTATTATTTAATACAGGTTCCATCTGTATCTGCTTAACAACATATCCAATTTCTGCTTATGTTTTTTGCATCTGAGTATTCAACTGATAACTTATATACAAAAATACAAATTTAATTCCTAAATATGTCTTATAAATGTCTCCATTTACTTTAACATTATAAAGGGACAGCTTAAATTCTACCAATCTCATTGACTTAGTTTAGACCAATATTTGGCTTCAAATGGAATAAATTTACCATAATGTGGGCTCCAAATGTCTTTGGCAAATATCTCACGTTTGACTAGTGTTAATTCCAACTAGATTGAGAAAAAGAGTAAGCTCGTTTAAAAAGGATTTTAATAAGGCTTATAATGGTGGAATCTTCAAAAAGTGACTAAATGATTTAATATCCCCAAACTTACACTTCCTAGAATATTTTTAACTGCTTCTTCATTATTAGAAACACTCCACAGTAATGTGCATACTGCAGCACCCATTTCTGTACAATATTCAGCTTGTTGTAATAATTGTTGCTTTGCATCACTTAGCTGTTGTTGAATATTTAATTTTTCCTGAAAATAATCAAAATATGAAGAGGTAATCAGTAATATATATTATAGTATTCAGATAGTTCTAATGTTTCCCAAGAAATTGCCAAAAATCTCTTAGCAAATATTAAATAACAATTATTTAAGAGCCAAGGTGGCACAGTGGTTAAATGCAGCACTGCAGGCTACTGCTAGATCAGCAGGTCAGCGGTTCAAATCTCACCGGCTCAGGG